CTTGCACCAAACTTATGATTATTTTTGGACTGAAGTCCTATCAATTGTAAGTCCTATTACCATAAAATGGTATAGTGTGATCTATCATTGATCTATGGGAAGTAGAAACTTGATTTATTTATGTTTTTAGTATGGGGGATCAAACCCAGGGGCGCTTAGCCACTGAACCATATCCCCAACCCCTTTTATTTTTTATTCAGAGACAGGATTTGGCTAAGTTGCTGAGGCTGRTTTTGAACTTGCAATCCTCTTGCCTCAGTTTCTTGAACCACTGGGATTACAGGCATGCACCACCGCACCCAGCTAGGAACTTTATTATCAAAATATCTCAGCTGGCTGGGGTTGGAGCTCAGTGGTTGAGCGCTTGCCTAGCAGGCATGAGGCACTGGGTTCAATCCTCAGCCCCACATTAAAAAAAAATAAAGATATCGTAAAAAAAAATCTCAGCTACTTATATAATTTGTTATCAGTGTCTTATGTACAAATATACATTTTTAGATGTTTGTATGTCAATTATTGGATATTTTGTTTCTTTACATTCACATGGACAAAATGTTAATTAAATAGGACTTTCAGAGAATAAGAAAGAACTCTTGGAAATTTAAAATGTAAAAATATGCATTAATTAACATGCTCTGTGCAATAAATTACCAAAAATCTTAGTGGCTTAAAACAGTAAACTTTCTTTTTAATTTCATACTTTCTATGGATCTGAAGTTGGGGAGATTACTTGGGTGGTTCTGTTAAGGTGGTCTTTCATGGAATGTCAATCAGGATGTCAGCTGGGGTTTTGGTTTTCTGAAGACACCATTAGGGAGGGAGGTCAGTTTCTAAGACGGTGCACTCATGTTACTTGCTATTCACAGGAGGTCTCAGTTCTTACTTGGACCTCTCCATTGGGCCATATGACCTGGGCTACTTGACTTCTCTAGGAATGAGTGATCCAAGAGAAAGTAAGCCAGAAGCTGCCTTAGAAGTTGCACATCATCCCTTCCACCTTATTCTGTTGGTTACATAAAGCAACCCTGACAGAATTTGAGAAGCGATTATATGATGGTATAAATACTGGAAGGCAAAGTCATTGAGGACCATATTAGAAGAGGGCTATCATAATACAGAATAAAAGTCATTACAGGGTTTGGATCATGAAATTAGAAAAATCATGTAGAAGGGAGAATAAAAAGACAGAAAATAGGAAAAATAAGAAACTAATAATTCAGAAAAACCAATATGTGACTAGCAGAAGATTGAAGAAAAAACCAGGCATGGTGGCACATACCTGTAATCTCAGTGACTCAGAAGGCTGAGGCAGGAGGACAGCAAGTTTAAGACTAGCCTTTCGTGAGGTGCTAAGCAACTTAGTGAGACTGTGTTTCAAAATAAAAAATAACAAGGGCTGGGGATGTGGCTTAGTGATTAAGGGCCCTTGGTTTCAATCCCCAGTACYTAAATAAATAAAATTTAAAAAATAAAGATGATTCAAGAAAAGAGGGAAGAGAAAAACCACACACACACAAATACACACATGAGCTCAAACAATGAACAATTGAAAAACAGAAAATTTAAATTCCATTTATGAATCAATTCCATTAAGTATCAAAAATACAAATGCTTAGAGATAAATTTAGCAAAAGATATATAAGGCACTGAAAACTACAAAATGTTGCTGAGAGAAACTTAAAACGACCTAAATAAATACAGAAATACACAATATTCATGGATTGGTAGGTCCACCATTGTTAAGTTACCGATTTTCATTTTAAGAACCCCAGTGAAGCCATGGACTCAACTCAATCCCAACCAAACTCACAGCAGATATTTTTCTCTTTTCTTTTTTTTTTGGAGGGGGGGGGTGGAGGTAGAAGTATACTGACAATTCAAAAATGTATAATGACATACAAAGAACTTAGAATAACTAAATCATTCTTGAAAAAGAATAAGTTGRAGTAGTTACATTTCCTAAGTAAAAAGCTTACTACAAAACTTTACTTATCAAGAGAGTATGACATTGCATAAAGAAACAAAAAGATCAATGTAACAGAATCAAAGTCCAGAAATAGACCCATCATTATATATTCAATAGATTTTTGATAGACATCAAGCAATTAAATGGGAAAGGAAAGTATTTTAAACAAATGGTGCTAAGCTGAGCACAGTGGCACATGGTAGTAATCCTGGCCACTTGAGAGGCGGGAGGCAGGGGGATCCCAAGTTTGAGGATGGCTTGGGCAATTTAGTGAGAACTTGTTTCAAAAAAAAAAAAGTAAAAAGGGATAGGGATGTAGCTTAGTGGCAAAGCACACACCTGGGTTTAATCTTCAGTACCGGAAACAAAAACAAAAAACACGGGCTGGGGTTGTAGCTCAGTGGTAGAGTGCTTGCCTAGCACAYGTGAGGCACTGGGTTTGATCCTCAGCACCACATTAAAATAAATAAATAAATAAAATAAAGGTATTGTGAAAAAAAATAGATGATTCATTACAACAACAACAAACCCTCCTAAAACAAAAACAAAACAAACAACAACAAAACAACAACAACAAAAATGGTTTTGGAACCACTTGGACTCAAGCCCTCAAATATTATTTTACACTATTTGTGAAATTTAATTTGGGATGGATCACACACCTAAATGTAAAAGTCAAAATTCTTGAGTCATCAATAAATATTGTTAGAAAAACAAACAGGTGAGCGACAGACTAGGAGAAAATATTTGCAATTAATACATGATATAAGACTTGTATCAAAAATACTTATAACTCAATAACAAGAAAACAAATATCCCAAATAAAAATTGTCAAAGTCTTGATAGACACTTCACAAAGGGAGGTTCATAAGCATGAAAAAGAGTTCAATATCATTGATTATTAAGAAAATGCAAATTAAAATCACAGCAAGATAATTATATCCAAGAATGGATGATATTGAAAATATTGACAACACTAAATGCAGATGTAGAGATACTTAATTTTCATATACTGCTGATTGGGGGTAAAATTGGCACAACCATTTGAAAAATAATGATTGATTGTTTCGTTCTTTTTTTCCCCTAATACTGGGGATTGAACCCAGATGGTTGTGCATGCTAGGCAAGCGCCCATCACTGAGCTACCTCCCCTGTAAAATTTCTTATAAAATTAAATGTATTCCTATCCTACCCAGAAATTCCATTTTGTTATATTGAAGAAACATTTGTACATGAATGTTAATAGCCATTTATTCACAATAGGGAAAAAAAACTGGTGAAAACAGATGTCCATTAATGAGAAAATAGGTAAATGTTCTGTGGTTGGTTCACACAGTAGTGAAAAGGACCAAAGTATTGATACATAGAACAAAATAAATACATTTCAAATTCATGATTGGGCTGGAGCACTCACCCAGCATGTGTGAGGCCCTGAGAGATAGTTCCTAGGTAACACACACACACACACACACAAAGAAAAACAAAAAACAACATTATGATTAATGAATGAAATGAGACACAGAAGAGTTCCTTACATATATCAAAAAATATATGTACAATTTCTCTTTCCTATTCCATAAGTTGCCTTTTCATTCTGTTGATTAGTATCCTTTTAAATTTTTTTTAAAAAATGTTTGTTCCAGTTATACCTGACAGCAGAATGCTTTGATTCACTGTACACAAATAGAGCACAATTTTTCACTTCTCTGATTGTACACAAAGCAGGGTCACACCATTCATGCAATCATACATGAACCTAGGGTAATGATGTCGGTCTCATTCCACCAACTTTCCTATCTTGCTCAGCCCTCCCTATCCCTCTTTCCCCTCTGCCCCATCCAAATTTCTTCCACTCATCACATGCCCCCCACCCCTACAGATTAGCATCCATTTATCAGAGAAAACATTCAGCCTTTGGTTTTTTGGGATTGGCTTACTTGGCTTGATTGTATCTTTGATGCACAAAAGTTTTAAACTTTTATGTTGTCCTACTTGGCTGTTTTTGCTTTTATTGGCTTGTGCATATGGTGTCATATCCAAGAAATCATTAAGTCCAAAGTCACAAGGCCAAGGCTTTCCTCCTGTGTTATTATAGGAGCTTTTTTGGTTTAGAAATGTTTGTGGATTTAATCTATTTAATTATTTGTACATAGTGCAAAATAAGAGTCTAAGTTTATTCTTTTCCATATGAATATTCAGTTTTCCCAGCATTACTTTTGAGGAGACTATCATTTCCTCAGTGTTTTGGCGCTCTTGTCAAAGTCCTTGGATGAAAGAGCTTTTCTAAAAAAAAAAAAAAAAAAAAAAAGATGTTATATATAGATTTTATATATAGACTGCACTGTGGTAGTTCAACAGTTTTGAGACTCTGAACATCATTCCATTCATCTGGAGATCTTCCAGGCTTACTTTATAATGACCAGGACACAGTTAAGGCCAGAGAAGTCTTCGGCAGCCTCGCTGGAATTTAGGAAGCAACGGATGTTGTACTCAAGATTTTTCCCCTATTGGTCTCTTCAGAGGCAAGAAATTAATAAGTTATCAAAACTCAGAAGCCCGGGGGTAGGATGGGGAGCTGGGTTGTTCCACAAGACCGGGTCAAATCCGCATTCAGACAGCACGTGTCTTGCGAGGCCTAGGGAAGCGGGGTCTCGGGTAACATTTCTCCTTGGCCTCSGCGGCCCAGCACCCAGTGAAGGAAAACGCCAGGCACGAAGCCTCCCGAGTCTCTCAAACTTCCACAAGGGAAAGGAACTGGGTGTGCCCAAACAGTCCGACCGCTCACTGCCAGTCATGTGATGGAACAGCGAGCCAGGAGGACCGGGAAACCTACCCTCAACCGGGCCCCGCCCACACGGCGTCATCCGCGGTGGCCCCGCCCCACCCTCTGGAAGAAGGAGCACCAGGCCCCGCCTTCAAACGGCCTCTCCTGGAGGGCCAGGCCGGCCAGCGAGGCGGAGGGAGGCCGGGAGAGGCGCCGGTGCAGGGGGAGGGGAGTAAAGGAAGGGGGTGGTCACGTGCGGCGGGCTGCTGGAGGTCACGTGACGGGGCGCCGGGCGGAGGGAGCCGGGGCTGGGAGTTCTCCTGAGAGAAGAGGAGTGAAGTGGCGGGGACGCGGCGGCGGCRGTGCTGACAATGGTGAGTGCGCGGCGGCCGGTGCGCTAGTCTCCCGCCTTCAGCCCGGAGCGCGCGGCGCGACGGCCAACGGCGGGCGCGGCGTCGCGTAAGGAAGGGGCGGGCGGGGAGCAGGGAGCAGGTTAGGCCTGTCCGGCTACCCCGGGTTCGGGGGAGTGCGAGCGGCGCCGCCTCTTCCAGGTCTCGACGAGGCCCGAGGACCGGCAGGCGGCCGTGCCTCTCCTGGTCATGTCGGAGCCTCTGCCGGCGTTCCTCGACCGGCTGTGGGGGCCCTGGCTGGGCACCCGGACCCCGCCCCTGCGGGGGCCCGCGGCCGCCTCCCCGCCCAAGGTAGCAGGTCCCTGCGCCGCTCCCCGGCAACCTCGCTTCCATGCAGGTTGGGTGACCCAGTGTCCCCCAGTTCCGGACTCTGGTGGACTTGGTCACTCTCCCTGTGTTATGAGCTTGATAAACTCCCCTATTTTTTATCCTGGATACGGTGACTGTGATATCATGACCCTACTTGAGGGTGGAGGTTGACACTTGTAGAATGGGAGAGAAAGGGGTGTCTGAATGGGGTGACGTTTTTAACTCCGAACACTTGAGTTTCGTGTCCGCGGATTTCAGCGTTGACTTCGTTTCCTTCCCTAAGCCGTTTCTTTAACTTAACGCTTCGGGATGTTGAAATGGCCTAGGAAGCAGAGGAGGGAGGGAAATCAGTTTTCTAACCCCAGTTTGTGGGAAGCACAAGCGTGGGCACGGTGGTGGTTAACTTTGAGTGTCGGCAGCCTCCTCTAGATTGGATCTCATTGGGCTCATTTTACCGTAGCATTCGTTTATTCGTTTCATTTGCTCTGCATGCTTTGAGTGCCTACTGTGTGCTTTCCATGTCCTACCTCCTTTCCCAAAGCTTGCCTTTTAAATAAACTGAAACTTTTGGCTAACGGTCAAGCCAGTTTTTTTTTTTTTAAGTTACTTTGAATAAATAACTTCTAAAGTCAGAAATTGCTTTGCTTTCATGTAAAGAAAAAAAAAGATGTATTCATTTTTGGAGTTTTTTTCCTTTCATTTAATGTCCAGGGGCCATAAACAAAACTGCTTGCTTTCTTTTAGCATACAGTCTAAGGATAAACATTAATATGTGTAAACTGATTGTTTAACGTGGAAATTACAATTGTGATAAATACTGAGAAGGAATTACTGGAGGACTTCACCTAGTCAGGGAGTTGGGGAAGCCTTCTTTGATTATAWTTTGAAAAGAAAACTTTATAAAGCTCTCCAATWTTTTGCTTATATGTGTAATTAATTAGTGCTTTTACTAAGCTTTCTGCGATATGTTAAAGAACGGGTTTATTTTCAAGTTRCTTGTCAAACAAATGAAGTTGTAAAACTTTGAAACGTTGAAATGGCACAAATGTATGTGTGAAAATATGCTGTTTCATTGTGTGTAGGCTAAGCAAATAAATTTTGAGAGTCTCCCTTCCACCTCACCTTGATCTACATTTCATCCACCGGTCTTGGTGCACTTTGTTCTATTAGGGCTAAAAAATGTCTTTTATGTATCCACATGTAATTTTGCTACATGATAATGCTTAATGTGGGGTTTACACATTTTATGAAAAATCTTAAATTAACCCAAAGTTAGTGATTAATATGAGGTTTAGGTCAAGATTAGAAAACAGAAAACAATCGCTATAATGTTTTACTAATAATATATTGCAGTCTAGTTATTTAAAAGTGACCTAGAAGTTTTATTATTTTCTTTTTTGTTTTGCTGATACTGGGGATTGAGCCCAGGGCCTCACATGTACTAGGCAAGCCTCTACCATTGAGCTACATTACTAGCCCTAAGAGTTTTTTGTTTTTAATATTTTTTTAATTGTCATTGGACTTTATTTTATTTATTTATATATGATGCTGAGAATCGAACTCCAGTGCCTAGGCAAGCGCTCTACCACTGAACCACAACCCCAGCCTTAGCCCTAAGAGTTTTAACTTGTATTATTAATTGTGTAGTATTGTTCTTGAACATTCTTTTTTGGGGATACTTGTAAAGACAAGTGCTCTGCCACTGAGCCATATCCCCAACCTAAAAATCTCATACTCCTATTGCTCACTTGAAGTTATCTTTGAAAAGAAGATCTCAATAGTATTCTTTCAAAACTGCCTTCTATTATTTCAGCAAGTCTATAAAGTATCCTTTTTATTACATTGTCTTTTTCCTATTTTTATACTGGGGATTGAGCCACATCCCCTGCCCTTTTTAAAAATTTTTTATTTTGAAACAGGGTCTTGCTAAGTTGCCTAGGGCCTCCCTAAGTTGCTGAGGCTGGCTTTGAACTTTCAATCTGTTTGCCTCAGCCTCCCTAAAGTTGCTGGGATTACATGTCTGCCCCACTGCATTGGGCTGTTTTTACAATTTTTATTCCCTTCCTTTCTTGTATTTTACTTTCTCTTTAACATATCAGAAGTATTATAATTTGATTGTGAATAATTAGAATTAAATATCATGACTTTTTATTTGAAATGTGAGAATATATAATCTTGAAATAAAATAAAACCAAGACCTTGGGTAAAGAATCTTTTACTTTCAACTGCTTTTAGAAAACAAAAAAGACAAGTTCTTTTCTCAGTTTTTTTTTTCTGTTGTTGACTTGTGAAATATAACACTTTTTTGGAGTGTTCTTTTAAGTAAAACTATAGGTTCATTTTTGATATGTCTCAATATTAAAAAAAAAAAGCTGTATGTTAACCCAATGTTAAAATTTTATGGCATAGTTAACTTGTTAAAATGCTATAGTTTATTACTCAACCTAACTCTTTGGCATATGCTATTTTTTGTTATACTTTTTTTTTTTTAGTTGTAATTGGACACAATACCTTTATTTCACTTATTTATTTTTATGTGGTGCTAAGGATCGAACCCAGGGTCTCACAAATGTGAGGTGAGCACTCTACCACTGAGCCACAACCCCAGCCCCTTGTTATACCTTCTGATTCCTCACCATTTTAACTTTAAAAAATGTTTTATTAATTATTGATGGACCTTTATTTATTTATTTGTTTAAATGTGGTGCTGAGGTTGCACTCAGTGCCTCACACATGCGAGGCAAGTGCTTTACCACTGAGCCACAACCCCAGCCCCTTGTTATACCTTCTGATTCCTCACCATTTTAACTTTAAAAAATGTTTTATTAATTATTGATGGACCTTTATTTATTTATTTGTTTAAATGTGGTGCTGAGGTTGCACTCAGTGCCTCACACATGCGAGGCAAGTGCTTTACCACTGAGCCACAACCCCATCCCCATTTTAACTTTTTTTTATTGTATTGAGAAGGAAGTCTGTTTTTTTTTTCCATTTTTAGTTCTGAAATAGTTAATGCATACAGAAAATAATGTAGTACATAACACCTAGGATTTTCTTTTTCTTCTTTTGGTATTGGAAATGCACTCAGGATTGTTTAACCACTGAGCCACATTCACAGATATTTTTATTTTTATTTTATTTTTTAAATTTTGAGACAGGATCTCACTAAATCCTGAGAGCCTCAATAATTTGCTAAGGCTGGTCTTGAACTTGCAATCCTCCCGTCTCACCCTCCCAAACTGGGATTACAGGTGTATAATACCATGCCTAGCCACATGTATTTTTAATGCCTAGGAATTTTTAATTTTTAAGAATTGGTATCAGGACAAGACTTTTTGTGTATGATTATTAATTGTGTAGTTTTCTAAAACTAAGTCTTTTGACAATTTTAAATAGTGCTGATTTTAATTTTGCCAAAATTGTTTTTATTTATTTTGGGAGGGGGAACTGGGGATAGTACTCAGGGACACTTGATCACTGAGCTACATCCCCAGCCATATTTTTTTTTTTTTTTAGAGAGAGAGGGCGGGGGAGAGAATTTTAATATTTATTTATTTATTTTTTAGTTATTGGCGGACACAACATCTTTGTATGTGGTGCTGAAGATCGAACCTGGGCCGCTCGCTTGCCAGGCGAGCGCGCTACCGCTTGAACCACATCCCCAGCCCCCCCAGCCATATTTTGTATTTTATTTAGAGACAGGGTTTCACCGAGTTGCTTAATGCCCCACTTTTGCTGAGGCTGGCTTTGAACTCATATCCTCTCTTCTCAGCCTCCCGAGCTGCTGGGATTACAAGCATGTGAAACCGTGCCCAGCCAAAATTGTATTTAATTTTTGATTATTTGATTTTTGTTATTTTTCAAATACCAAGTGCAGCTCTGTTAAATATTATAATAATATATAATGTTATAAAAACTGTTAGAAAACAGTTTTTATAGTTTTTACAGTTTATTTTTCCTTAAAGTAGCTTTGGTAAGTGTCGGGTTAAAAATTAATATTTCTGCCTTAATTTTGTAAYTCAAATGAATTGATGTTGTGGGTGTCACAAGGGAGAAGAACTCATTTTCTTCTTACCCTCACTGCCAATTGGTGTTCTCTTTTACTGCACCTGACTTTGTTTCCCCAATTAAAATAGCTACTTGGAGATGTTGCTTTTATCCTTTCATAAGTGATCTATCCGCAGTAGTCTCCTCTCTTGTTGGCTCAGTGGTTTGCACATAGTTAATAATTAGTGGATTGATTTTGAACTSTTGTACATCTTTTTAAAAAATTTTTTTAAGTTGTTGATGGACCTTTATTTTTTTTATTTATTTATATGTGGTGCTGAGAATTGAACCAAGTGCCTCATGCATGCTAGGCAAGCTCTCTACCATTGAGCCACAACCCCAGCCACCCCCCCCCAACTGTTGTACATCTTATCTGTAGTTTTCTCTTAGGAGAACATGTAGAACATGTAGTATTTTAAAATTTGCCATTTTTGAGTAGATTTTGAGTTTTAAGACTTGGAGTGTGAACACTAACTAGGAATAGATAATGCAGGTAACCTATCATTGAAGTTTTTCTCTAGATTAGTTCATTATAGTTTTCTGATAAAAATTTTGAGTTTGTTGTTCTCAGAAAAGACTAAAACATCACGTCAAAAAGAAAATTTGGGGGGATGGGAGTTGTAGCTTAGTGGTAGGGGGCTTGCCTAGCGTGTGTGAGGCACTGGGTTCAATCCTCAGCACCACATAAAGATAAATTAATAAAGGTATTGTGTTCATCTAAAGCTAAAAAAAAATTAAAAAAAAGAAAATTTGCTATTTGGAATATATCAAAAACACTAATTTGGCAATTCTTGTAGTTTCTTGAAATTATAAGCCCACCCATTTAATATAGGAGTAATGAAAACAAAGAAGCAAGTCCACATTTTRGGAAAACACTGTCTCATCTGATCATAATATCATTTGTGACCTACAAAGCCTTTTGGGGGCTCATTATCTTGCTTGCCATTCCCTGGCCACCTCAGGACAGAGCTGACCTTGTCTGTGCTTGAGTTCCATGCTCTAGGCTTCGCTATTACACCAGTGCTAATTTGCTGGGAAAGGGCTGGCATTACCACCTATTCTAGATATCATCCAACTTCTTCTGTATAGTCAGTTTTTTCCCTATTATTAGAATGGTATGTGTATGTTTAAATTTAACATTCCAATAGGTATTTCAGTGCCTTCTATTAAATGCCACTACTGCTCTAGGTCCTCTCTCTTCAGTGAGGAATAAAGGATATGGTGTCCTCACATAGTTTACAGTGTAGTAGGAGTGTCAGGCAGTAAAATCAGCCTTGTGACACCTAACTTTGGAGAATCCAGTTTGGATTAGGGAGTTAGGGAGAGTCTTATGAAAATGACTCAAATTAAATGGATGAGTTAGGTTAAGGTACTTTGCTTGACTCTAGGACAAAGAATTTGGCAAATGTGATGAACTTTTGCAGAAAAATCTTAAGATCATTTGAGGCTGATGTAACTCAAGAGATGTATAGAGCTAGATATATGTAAAATGTTACAGAATGCAGTGTGTGTGTGTGTGTGTGTGTGTACTATTGAAGTTAACATTATGTATAAGGATATAGCTTGATGAATTTCATAAAGTGTACATGCCTGTGTGTCAAGTGCTCAGAACAGAGAACAGTACTAGCACCCCACTTATTTTATTCTTCCTCCCACTTCTTAACTTCTAATATTACAATGTACATTACATGTTTTTGACTTATATGTATATGAGATCGAAACAGAATATATTCTCCTGTGTGGCCTCTTGGACTCTTTCATTCAACTTTTTTTTTTGTTGTTGTTGATAGATATTTGGATTGTTTCCATTGGAGGCTGTTATAAACATATTTGTCTCCTGTAAGTTTCTGTTTGGAATATATCCAGGGATGGAATTGTTGGGTTATGGGATGTATACATCTTCAACTTTACTAGATCATGCCAAACTATTTCCTAAAGTAGTTCCAATTTATAAGTTCACCAGCCCATGAAAATATTTTATAAACAGGAAATTATATGATCAAATTCATGTTTTTTAAAGACTACCCTGCTTGTTGTATAGGGTAAGTTAAGAAGGGATATAGTACATGATAGAAGACTATTATCTTGTAAATTAAAAAAACCAAAAAACCAAAAATAGACTAGAAGACTGGCTTTCCTTAGTGACAAAATAATTTTTGGCTTGTTTTGGTACTGGGGAATTGAACCTAGGGGTGCTTTATCACTGAACTACATCCCCAGTCTTTTTCTTTTTTCTTTTGAGACAAGGTCTTTCTAAGTTGCTAAGGGTCTTGCTATGTTTCTGATGCTTCCCTTGAGCTTGTGAACCCACTGCCTCAGCCTGTCAAGTCGCTGAGGGTAGWGGCCTTCACCAATATGCCTGGTGACAAAAATAATTTTAATTATATCCTATACTATAGTTGCTAATGGATTCTGTTCATATTACTTGATTATTACCAACTAATATGTTTTGGCATTGATAAGCAATTGATTTTTGTTCTTTATAGTTCTGTCATATCGAGGATTTACAGAATAAGGCTTGTATAAATTGGAGAAATTTCATTGGTTTCCTCAGAGCCAGCTTTTGCGCACACACACACACACATATTTTTAGTAGTAGGTGGACACAATTCCTTTATTTTATTTGTTTTTATTTTTATGTGGTGCCAGGGATCGACCCCAGTGCCTCACACATGCTAGGCAAGCTCTTTACCACTGAGCCACAACCCCAGCCCCTAGGGCCAGTTTTACTCAAAGGGCTTATATAATGTAACACATCCTGTTTAGACCTAATATAGCAGTAGATTTTATAGTAAGCAGTGCATTATAATAATTCATTTCAGCTTTTTAGAAGTAATTTGGATTATGCAAATTCTGCTCTCATGAAAACTCCTCATAGAGGTTTAATAAAAGTTAATTTTTCAAACTTAAGATGTTAAGATGGCTGGGCTTGTGGCGCACGCCTATAATTGCAGCGGCTCAGGAGGCTGAGAAAGGAGAATCTCAGGTTCAAAGCCAGCCTCAGCAATGGTGAAGCTAAGCAACTCAGTGAGACCCTATCTCTAAATAAAATACAATATAGGGCTGGGGATATGGCTCAGTGGTCAAGTGTCCCTGAGTTCAATCCCTGGTACCCCACCCCCACCCTGCCAAAAAAAAGAATTCTTATAGTTCTAGTATGCTAGTATTTGATTATTTATAATGGTTACCTATGGAAATGATTGAAATTATAACATTTAATTGTTTATTTTTTCCCTAATCTAACTTTAAAAAGTGTATAGTACAGTACTATTCACTATTTACATATTATTATATTCAGTTTGTAAAGTTTTGATGTAGAATTTGATGTAAGCTTGTGAACTCACAGATTTGTAGTCTAACTGTAGGTCAATGGTGTAATAAAATTTGAATTTAAAATGTTGTGACTGGCTGCATACGATAATTATGAGCATTTTTATTTTATTTCAGAGTTTTCTTGGAGGCTTTTTTGGTCCCATTTGTGAGATTGATGTTGTCCTTAATGATGGAGAAACCAGGAAAATGGCAGAAATGAAAACTGAAGATGGCAAGGTGGAAAAACACTATCTCTTCTATGATGGAGAATCAGTTTCAGGAAAGGTAAATCTTTTGTTTGGCAGAATTATCTAGTTGTAGGATATTAGAATTACTCATCAAAATGATCTGCACTGTGTCTAAATTTGAGCTCCAGATGAATTATTACAGTGATTTAAAAAATTATTTGGTTTAAYTAGTTATACATGAAAGTAGAATGCATTTATGCATTTTGATATTCTATACATAGATGGAATATAATTTCTCATTTTTCTGAGTGTACATGTTGCAGAATCATATTGGTCATGCAGTCACATGTATACATACATAAAGTATTAGAGATGGAATTTTTTTCTCCAAAGGTCAGCTAAAATCTTTGATTAGAACATTTAGAAAGACTTTTAACCCTGGAAGAATTCTAAATTACACAAAATAATTCTCTTTTTTTTTTTTTTTTTTTTTAAAATTGTGAATTTGTTTAGCTTTGGAAAGTTTGTTTAGCTTTGGAAAGTTTGTCTAGCTTTGGAGAGTTTCTCCAGAATAGAGTTGTGATCCTCTCAACATTTGCTTCCCTTTCAACATACAGTTGAATTGTAGAGATTGAGTAACTCTGGTGTGCCATTCTAAAGGTTTCTCACTCTTTGTAACTTACCTCTCTGTATTATTCTTGTGTCTGTTGATCTTATTTTTGGTACTCCCATTGAAGACCTAAGTACTTTTGGAATGTGTTTGTGTGAAGGCATCTGTATGTCAGATTCTGTAAGATTTCATTTTTCCCCCTTTTCCTTATACACTGATATGTAAGATTATTCTTAAACCTTAGGGAATAGGATAAATACTCATTAGCTTGAGATACTAGGGAATGGTAATATCATAGACAAAAGCAAGCTACAAAACATTTGAAATAATTTTTAAAATATAAAATGTTAGGATTTTTCTTTCTTGCTTCTTCAATTAATTTATACATGTGGTAGGTATATAAAATGTTAGGATTTTTCTTTCTTCAATTAATTTATACATGTGGTAGGCAGTTTGGGAAAATAAGGTATAATCCTATTATGGAAATAATTCACAGTTAAATTTGAATGTGTCTTCTCTAAGTTTCCCTGCATTTATTGTTTATATATTTGTAGCACAGTCTATGTCACTTAATGACAGAGGTATGTTTTTGACAGATGTGTCTTTATAGCCTTTTTTTTTTTTTTTTTTTTTTTGATGGTGGTGCTGGGGATTGAACCTAGGGCCTTGTGCATGCAAGGCAAACACTCTACCCAGCTTGACAGATGTGTCTTTAGGTGATTTTGGCATTATGTGAGCATAATAGAATGTATGTGCACAAACCTAGTGGTGTGAAGTTCTACACACCTAGCCTATATGGTATAGGCTACTTAAATTTTTTTTTTCACTTTTTAAGCTTTTTTATTGTTGAAAACAGACACAAATATATTAGCCTAGGCTTACACAGAATCAGAATTATCAACATCATTCATTGTCTTTCATTTCCCCATCTTGTCCCACTGGAAGGTCTTCAGGGGCAATAACATAGTTGGAACTGTCATCTCCTATTATAACAAGTGCCTTCTGGAATCCCTCCTTAAGGACCTGCCTGTTTTACAGTTATCATTATTTTTTTTAATAAGTAGAAGGAGTATACTCTAATAAGTATAGAAAATATGAACCAGTAAATAGTCATTTATTATTATTATCAGTTTTTATATACTATGTATAATTGTATATGCAGTAAGTTTGTTTACTGCAGTATTACTAAAAGCATGTACGTAATAATTTGCAGCATCATGATGGCTACTCAGTTACTAGGTGATAGAAATTTATTCACTTTATTATAATCTTATGGTACCACCATATGCAGTTTGTCCTTGATCAAATTATCATGTGGTACATGAAAGTAGTTTCTAGTTTTGTTTTTTTTTGGCAGAGCTGGAGATTGAACCCAGGGCCTTGTGCATGCAAGGCAAGCACTGTACCAACTGAACTATATCCYTAGCCCCATTAGTTTCTAGTTTTTAAGATAGCTTTTAGTATATGATATCATCTTTGATAATATGGACATCTATATGCATACATTTTTCTCCAGATTCTACAGGACAAGATTGTTTACTTAGAATAGATTCCTGGAAAAAGTTGGTGGGCCAAAAGACATGAGTATTTGCAGGGTCGAAATACATATTAATCTAGAAAATTTATGTGTGTTAAAACATGATCTACATATATTGTCTTGTTTTATCAAGGAAGCATTGAATATGATCACTTTATTTACACAATATATTTATTTTGTTTATTTGTTTTATGTTATGCTGGGAATTGAACCCAGTGCCTTGTGCATGCTAGGCAAGCACTCTACCACTGAGCCACAACCCCAGCCCGAATATGAGCACTTTATAATGTAATGTGGTTCAGTGGTTAAGTGCTTCTGGGTTCAATCCCTCCCCGCCCCCCGCCATTTATGGAATATAATAACCTTGCCTACATTTTCATTTTTTAGTTATAGGTGGACACAATATATTTATTTTATTTTTATGTGGTGCTGAGGATCGAACCCCAGTTCCTCACACACTAGGCAAGTGCTCTACCTCTGAGCCAGGACCCCAGCTCCCATTTTCTGTTTTTTAATATTTCAGATTTATTGTCTTTGGTATAAAGTCTTGCTGACAAAGCCTAATTTTATTTCACTTAAATGTTGTAATGCCCTTTTTGCCTTGATACCCAAAGGATATCTTTTTCTCYTTTTTTTTGTGSTGCTGGGTCTCATACATGGTAGGTAAGTACTCTACCACTGATCTACAGTTCAAGCAAACATTCTCCCCCCTCCTTTCTTTCTTTCTCTGGGGATTGAACCCAGGGGCGTTTTAACCACTGAGCCACATCCCAGCTCTTTTTACTTTTTATTTTGAGACAGGGTTTTGCTTAATTGCTGAGGCTGACATTAAATTTGTATCCTCCTGCCTCAGCCTCCCAGGTAATTGGGACTACAGGTATGTGCCACCATGTCTTGCTAATATTTTTGTTTATAGATGAGGAAATAGTGGCTCATAGGTTGAATAGCATGTTTGAAAATGTACAATCATTGGTGTGAGTAAAACAGGTTACAGGATAATATACTATACTATTTTTTTTCTTTTTTACAGTATTGGGGATTAAATCCAGGAGTGCTTTACTACTGAGCTCTATCACCAGTCCTTTTTTTATTTTTTATTTTTTTGAGACAGGGTATTGTCTAGTTGCTGAGGCTGACCTTGAACTTGTAATCCTCCTGCCTTTGAAGTACCTGGAATTACAGATATACACCACTATACCTGGCAGGAAAACATTTTACATTTAGAATAAGAAAATAAATAAGGAAAGAATATGCTTGGCATGTCATTTATTGTAATATAACAAATGCAAAAGAAAGAGTTAATATTTTGCTTTTTTTTAACATCTAAATTGTTTTTTAATTGGAAAAGGTAGAATCATTAGAGTAAAAGCTAATTATAATTATGAAAAGTAAAAATAATCTAGTTTTAAAACATTCTGGTGGCAAGATCAGATGAATGTTATGCTATATATAGTACAGAGAGAATTTTGTAGAACTGATTGCAGAAATCYCTCAGTAATTCTGGAAAATGAGAAAAGTTTTAGAATATAGGAAGRTACTATATTATATATTTAAAATGAGGTAAACAATTTATATTAGTTAAACTTAATATTGATTCCTGGTATAACTGTAGAATGGATGATTTATGAGCARTTTGAAATGAAAACTTAAAAGCAAGCATTCATTATATGTGATCMAGTATGTGTAAGAACAGGTCTTATCTCACAAGTGTGCTAGTGTAATWAAAAGATGATTGGGATACAGTTGTAATATTTAGCCTTTACTTGTCCACTCTTTTAGTAGGAATTCTGGATAATCATTTAACTTCCTGGATTTCACCAATAAATTGTGGAAGTTAAACTGGATCATTGGTTTCCAAACTTGGCTTTGCATCTCTGTGGTATCTTCTTATATTTAGTATTATCTTGGATCTTAGAGGTTTGACATGGCACCCAAAGGAAGAATAATTTCCTTTTATAGTATTCCTGATTTGTTAGTTTCCATATGCTCACTTTTCAGGGTGGGAATTCTATTATTCTGAAACCACTATCCACCCTGCTGTTTAGAAATATACATAATAAATCTTTCTCTTTTTTTCTGAACCACTGTCTTGTTTATGATAAGTCTTCTCTAAATTAAATATGCTATTTCCATTTCCTTTATTCCTGAAGAAATATGGATTTTGAGTCTTAATCATCCTGATTGCTTTCTTTTAGGAGGATTGAGTTATCTGGCATTCCCGTGTTTCCAGAGCCTGAAACCATATTTAATTCAGCAACAATGGAACTGTTGACTTTTTAAAACATTTAARTCAGTTCTACATCCTTGTAAGCATTCCACAGCTCTCCTCATAAAATGACTGGGCTACCATTTGCATTAGTATTTCTAAAATGAAGTACTTAGGTGTAAATCTAACAAAATATGTACAGTGTCTGTATGAGGAAAACTATAAAACTTTGATGGGCTGGGGCTATAGCTCAGTGGCAAAGCGCTTGCCTCGAATGTGGGAGGCATTGGGTTCGATTCTCAGTACAACATAAAAAAATATAAAAGTATGCTGTCCATCTGCAACTACAAAAAAACAAAAAAACTATAAACTTTGATGAAAGAAATCAAAGATAAACAGAAAGATAGTCTATGTTAATATATAAGAAGACACAATATTAAGATATTTGTTTCCCACCTGATCTATAGATTCAACTCTATCCCCATAAAAAATTGGACACATTACTTTGTAGTTATCAATAAACAGATTCTAAAATTTAAAGACAAAAGTATATGTAAATAGTAAGTAATATTGAAGAAGAACAAAGTTGGAGAACTGACATTACCGAGTTTCAAGACTTACTACACACAGTATCAAGACAGTCTGGTATTGGTGAGAGAAGAGAGAAATAAATCAAAGGGATGAAGTAGAGTCCAGAAAGACCCACACAAATATAGTGAACTGCTCTTTGATAAAGGAGCAAAG